GCTTGTGTGTGCGCGTGTGTGTGTGTGTGTGTGTGTGTGTGTGTGTGTGTGTGTGTGTGTGCATGTGTGTGTGCGCGCATGTGCACAACAGCACCAGAAACTCCAAGATTCTGCCAAGCTATCAGCTTGTCCAGCGTGGCCTCGGCTGCGCGCAACCCGCCCGCCCGCCTGCCGCAGCTGCCGCCGCCGCCCCCGCCCCACCTCCTGGTTGTCGATCGGCACCACCTGCTTGAACACCACAGACTCCTGCAGGCACGCGGCGTTGGCCGGCGAGGGGCGCGCGGCTCAGCGCGAGCAGTCAACCGCAAACACAGCGCCTGGAGACGCCCCGGCGCGGGAGAGGTGCACGCGTCGCGAGCGTTCTGCCATGTCATGCGCCCGCCGCGGCCGGCGGCGCCGCCCCTCGCGAAGCGCGCACCTTGAGGAACTGCCTGTGCTGCGCGCGCGCGCCGGCGGGCGTCTCCGGGTCGTGCTCCAGCGCGCCCATGACGTCCATCACGTGCTCCTCCCGCAGCAGCTCCTCCAGCAGCGCCGTGTCGTTCAGCAGCACCGCGCTGCGCATCGTCTGGAACAGCGCCGTCAGGCTGGCAGTGTCCTCCAGGTCCTCGGCTTGCTGCGGGGTGGCGGGTGTCAAGGAAGGGGCCCATGGGGCCCGGGGGACGGGGGGTTGTTGAGGGCGCCGTATCACGATGCATGCGGCCGCAGCGCTCGTTCCTAACACGACTGCACCTGATGCCGTTCTCAGGCACCGCGTCCGCCTGGCTCAGGCCGTGCCTGCGCCGCCGGCGCCCCCCCTGCATCCCGAGCGCAGCTGCGGCTCCAGCGCAGATAGCTGTACGCCACTGCGCCACCCGTCCCCGCTGCGCTGCCGGCGTCCCTGCCCGGCCTCGCACCCGGAAGAGGTCCAGCAGCGCCCGCAGGTACCCCGGCGCCATGAGCTGCTGCGCGACGCGCTCGCGCTGCATCAGCGGCACGTGCATCATCGTCTGCGCGACCTCCTCGAGCCGCCCCATCTCCGCGGGCGGCAGCTCCACCACGCCCTGGATGCCGCCCTCCGCGCCGTCGGCATACTCGCCTGAGAGGGGGCACCGCGGTGCAAATGCCGCGTGCGTGAGCGGGGTGAGCGCCTCGCTTGATGAACATGAGACAGCGCGAGCCCCGCGACCGCAATGGGCCAACCGCCCGACTCAACCGCAATGGGCCAACCGCCCGACTCAACGTGCAAACGATAAGGCTGCACGTGGTGCTGCCTGCTGTTCCGAACGCCTAAAGAGAGCCCCAGCGCCATCCTGACAGCCTCCTCGGTGGCCCGCGCCGCCGCCCACCGTCCATAGGCTGCGCCCCGGATTCGAACTCGTCCACCATGCGTCGCCGCACGCCTATTGCGGAAAAAGTGGCGGCAGGGCGCCAGATAGCAAGGAGCACAAGGCCGTCGTGCACGGGACAGCGCAGTGAGCGCCCGCAGGCAGTGCAGGGCAATGAAGCCATGGGCGATACAAATGAGCGCGTACGCACGCACGTGCCACGACAAGCAGCTGCAGTTGCAGGTTATCTTGGACCTTGGCTGCAACCACTTGCTATCGCTCGCGGCATCAGCCTTTATAGCACAAACCGCCAACGTCCCTTTCATTCCGCCTGCAGCACTTGTTTCGCAACCACACCTGGACGCCCGTCCTCGTTTTGCAGCCGCGCAATGTGCTGCCTGCGCGAGGGTAGCAAAAGTATGGAACTTAATTAATGGTACACAGGGCAAACACCGCACACGAGGTGAACGGCAGCGGCTTTTCGTGCCACCGTTGTTGCAATATGGCGGCGGCGCACCAGATCGCATGGCAGCCGTTTGCCTCCTGGAAGCTAAGCGCAACGTCCGTTCCAACGTCCACGTCCGTCCAGGTAATGATCGTATCATCTGCGAGGAGCGGCAGGGCGCCGTGAGCTGCTGCAGGTGCGAGGGCCGCGCTAAAAATCGAGAGATCACCGGCTGCCGACCTTGACGATGGTAGATGTCGTCATCAGTGCATATCCTGTGCGCCAGCAGCGTCTTGTGCGTATCCTCAGCCAGAACCACCAGCCCCAGCGAGGACGAAGCCTGATGGGGCGTCTGCGGTCGCAACACACGGCACCGTCAGCGACATGGGGTGCCGTAGCCCTCTCCACCAGCCGGTGCCGCTTATGAGACCTCTCTGAACGCAAACAGATAGCACTGATGGTGCCAGACGCCCCAGATCACACGCCACGGTACCCCACCTCTAGCGGCCCCACGGACACTAGGCCCGTGCCCTTGTCGTCCCAGCCTCCTGTCTCGTTGAGCTTGTACACCTTAACACGGTAGAAGCCCTGCTGCTGCTGCATCATGCTCCCGGGTGAGCGTTCGCTAAAGCTAAGGCATTCTGCTGTGTATATGCTGGTTGCAATCTCACAATTACTCAATAGATTGCGCAACGAGCTCGCGTACTCTGCTGCTAGAGCACAGCGTGCGCCGCGACCGCTCAAAAGTGTCGTGCCCCCCTCACTACCCCGCCACGCGTGAACGCTGGTGCCACATGGGCAAACGCCGCCCGATGCGACGGCCTCGGGACATGTCCAACCTGCTGCAGATATTGAAGACTGCCCAAGCCACCTTGCACTAGCTTTGCGGTGCATATAGGTGCTGGTTTACAGGCGGGCGAACAACCAGCCAGCAGTATGCCTTGGCTTCAACCTATGTGGCTATACGGGCCCGCTGCCCAGCCGGTGCCGCTGCTCCAGCTCGTGCGTGCGCTCGCGCTCCCTAAACGCCCCCTCCGCCAACACGGGCCTCGGGAACACCCACTTGTCGCTCCCCTGCCCCTCCACCGCCGCCTCTTGGCGCGCCACCACGAGCTCGCGCTGCCGCTGCGGCAGCCGGGTGAGCAGGCGGGCGCGCTCGGCCTCGAGCGCTGAGATGCGCTCTGCCAGGAGCAGCGCCGCCGTGTCCGGGCCGTGGAGGTGCAGCAGCGCACGATACACGTTGAACGAGTTGGCGATGACGTCATCTTGAGGGCGGGGTTCAGAGGCGGCGGAGGGTATTGGGAGGGTGGCGGGACCGTTGATGCCCCGGCGGTAATACCGGTCAAGCGCGGGGCCACCCAGGCTGCAAGGCGATGGCGCAATGGGTGCATCCGCCCAGCGCCAACCCAACTGCAGCGGCCCCCGGGGCCCCACACTGCATCACCCAGCTGGCACGACGGGCCTTGCGCGCCCACCCTCATAGTCTGTGAGGTCGTCCCCGATGTCCACCAGGCGCTCGTCTGCCGCCATGAAGGCCAGCAGCGCCTCGTCGTACTCCGTACCCGCCAGCCGGTGCAGCAGCAGGTGCAGCAGCCGGTAATCAAAGCTCTTGGCCTCGTGCGCAGCTAGCGCGTCGGGCCAGGTGAAGCCTGGGTCCAAGGGCACAGGCGCTGCAGTGGCCAGGGCGGGTGCGGGTGAGCAAGTTGCTTGCTTGCCAGGGTCCTTGAGCGTGCCTGGCTTGCAGGGAGCCCCTTGTCTTTTCCGCTCCTCCTCCGCTTGCTGCGGCTGCTGCTGCTGCTGCTGCTGTTGGTGACTTTGCTCTTGCGTGCCCTGGTCGTGCTGCCGCCGCTGCCTCCATGCTGCTGCCAGGTCGTGCCGCGCCATGGCGCAGCAGACGCGCCGTTCCAGCTCCCAATACCGGTAGCCCTGCAGCGGCATGGGCGACGGCACAGCTTTTTTGGCAGCATGGCGTGGCCTTCATACAGGCGTGCGCTGTGGCCCAGGGCGCCCGTCACAAGGCGCAGGCATGCGACGCAAAGCGCACATGCAGGCGCGCGATGCGCAGGCGAATGCATGCCCCTTGCATCGCAGTTGTGCATCTTGCCACAACAGCGTGCCCACCGACAACAGCTCCGCCTCTATCCGCTCGTCCCACAGCCCGCGCCGCCGCAGCACAGCCTCCAGCACGGCGGCCGCGGGGAAGCGGTGGCCGGGCAGCAGCGCCCCGCGGCCTGACATCGCCTCGTTGTCCTCGTCCATCTGAGGCGCCATGTGAGGTGGTGGGCCGGTCGAGTGGACGCAAGATATCGTGAGGAGCATCCAGGAGGCTCTGAAAGACAATTTCAAGCTGTTAGGACATGCCTCAACTGGAGTGCAATCGTGTCCAAACGCCGCCTGCAGGCTGCATGTGGCCTGGGCAGAGGGGCGACTTCAGTGGCTGACGCGAGCCGCTGCCGTGCATCGAGGGGGTCGGCGCGACTGTCGCGCCTGGTAGATGGTGGCCTCAACGAACAGCAGGATGTCCAGGAACCTGAAGAGGTCCTGGAGGGCGGAGCAGGGGTAGTTGCATGGGTAGGTGATACAGTGTGTGGGGCTGCGTGCCATGGTGCGGCAAACGAAGGGGGCATGGCAAGCACGGGGCTGTCTGCCGAGTCGGCGGGGCATGCCTCAAGGCCCAGGCACCTTCGGCAACTCCAGACCGTGGAGGGGGAAGTAAGTCATTGCAAAGTCTTCGATGGTCGTTCTACACCGTTGCCTGCCAGTGTGCACGGGACCGGGGGAGAGCTTGGGGGCGGTGGCCGTCGCGTCGCTAATAGAGGAGTTACAAAGATGCCAACAGCAGAAGGCGGCTTCAAGGTGCTTCAGAAATGCATATAGCTTTGTGACCGGTGCTGCATTTGCTACCGCAAGCCCCATCTCACAGAGCGCGGTATGATATTGTCGGGCTGCTGCATTCCTCATCGGTGGTGGCGTGTTCGGCGCCTGGCATGGCCGCTGGTGCGCCATTCAGAAGTAATCCCGACATCAAGATTCGTGTGTGTAAGGACTACTGTAAAGGGAGCGGCACGTGTGCATGCAGCTGCCCTCGGGGAGGTCACAGATCATGAAGGTCCGGAGGACGGACTTCGAAACGAGCGCTGCTCTTCACCGTATGATATCGCAGCAGAGTTTAATGACGCGCAAAGAGTTATGTTATATGACACAGAGATTTAGTGATAGAAATCACCTCTGCTGCCACCATTTGCGCTTTGTGTTTGATTTCTGCGATCCTAGCCCCTCTCAACGACAGCCCAAAGCATCATGTCGGCTGGCAGGTGACACTGGCGCACAGCTTGCCACCGTAGGGGCACGTGCCCGCGGCGTGGTGGACCAGGGGAAGCGCTTCGCTGGTGCCCCTGTTCGTGCTGCTTGCCTGCGGGGCCATGCCACTGCACTGTCTCGCTCACACACAATCGACCCATAGGAAGAAGATAATGGACGCTTTGGAAGGCCTTTCAGGCGACGAGGACGACTCAAGCAGCGCTGGCGGCAGCGGCTCCGACGCAGGGAGCGACGAAGAGGGCGGCGGCAGCGGGAAAAAACAAAAAGGGGCCGATGGCAGCGCGGTACCGGCCAAGAAGAAACAGGTGGGCTACAGGTGCATGCTGCGAGACGGCACCCACGCCCTGTACACGCCCGGAGAGCGACGCATGTGGCGAGTGCGTTGCAGTTTGGTGGTTTGAGCAGTGTCCTAGTCAACAGCCTGTCCCTGGTGTTTGCAGGAGCTTACGCTGGACGATTTGGAAGCTGCCGGGTTCACGACAGGCCCCTCTGTGCTTTTCATTAAGCCGCCGGCGGAGGAGCAGCAGAACTGGAACTGGTGTGTGCTTGTCAAGCAGGGTACTGGGAGGGGGCGAGGGCAGCTGAGAGCCGCGCTGCGGCAGAGGCTGGCTGCTGTGCAGTTGCCTGCCCAGGAGCGGGCCCTGCTTTGCGACTGTCCGTCACATTGATCCGGCCCCGCCCGCAGGTCTGACGGCAAGGCGTCGAAGGCAGAGGAGGCGGAGGACACCCTTGAGGTGAGGCAGAGAGGGGGCCGCGCTTCTGCCCAGCAGGCGGCAGCCTGAGGAGCCACTGCGCCCGCCAACATACACACAAAAAAGTGCAGCGCTTGACCAGTGCACAGGTGGCCTCATACGTGAGCTCAAGACGATCGCAGCAAATCACCCCATGGCAGCAGGGCCCATTCAGGTGCCCACTCCCCCGCCTGCGCAACCCCCCGCCGCCCTGCCCAGGAGCGGCGTCGCACCCACGAGGCTGCGACGACGGGCGCTGAGGAGGGCGCGGGGATCGCGATGCGCGGCGTGGCGCACTCGGCGGCGCTGCGACAGGCGGCCCTGGAGGAGCGGCAGCGGCTGGCAGCGGAGAAGAAGCTCAGCTGGAACCAAAAGGCGAGTGGCCCGGGCAGCAGCGAGCTGACATTCGCGTCCAGGCGCAGGGTAGGACCGACCTATTGCTAAGAAAGGCGAGCGCTTGTTGGCTGGGGTCCCATGTGTTTCAACGACAACAGTGCAGGGGTGGGAAGGAGGCTGTTGTAGCTGCTGGTGGCGGCGGGCGCCTTGCAAGCGGCCTGCTCCACGCAGCGCGGCTGCTTTCCCTTTGCAGGAGAAGCGCAAGAGGGACGCAGGCCAGGCCTCACGGGGCAAGAGCTATGTGGAAGAGGAGAAGAGGCTGCAGGTGGGCTTGCGGTTGCAGGGGGTTGGGCCGGGCCGCACATGCAGGCGCCTCCCTCTATCCAAAGTAACGCTGATGCACCAACACGCCCTCCCACAGAGACAAATGGGGATGTACACCGGGTTTGACTGAGGCACACTTTGTGTCCGGCCATCAGCACGCCAATTGCAGCTTCTCACCATGTGAATCACCTGTCGATAATGCTTTGCTTTTGAGTGTCTTGGAGCATGGGCCCAACCAATAGTATATGTGTAAAGCATTCACGACCACTGATGTGATGCGGCGAAGGGGGGTGGGGGGCTGCGCATACCGTCAGCACGTCTTCATTGGCTGGCAGCGGTGCACGACAACATGCAGGCGGCAACGTGGCCACCCGAGCTGCATGTCAAATGGCTGCGCTCCACACATGTGTTCAGACATGTGTGACAGCACAACATCAGTGCCCCACCGTAGCAATCGGTTTCAAGCTAGTGGGGTTGGATCATCGGCGGCTGTGCCGAAAGCAGGGCGTGTGCGCCGAGCATCTGACGAATACGCCTGGGCTCCCAAAAGTAGTGGGAAATGATGTGCAAAGCACAGACACTTGCTTGCGATTGTGCTGGGAATCCCCAGCTTCGGAGTGGGCAGGCGCTGCTCTCGTGCTGTGCGCCGCTCTCCCACCATTGCACTGGTCCTTGATGCCTGTGAGGACATGATATACTGTAGTTTCTCAGCAACGCTCACGGCTTTCTTCAGCATTGCAGCTTTGCCGCCGGCGCCCGCTTGACATGAAACATGGTTCGCTGTTGTCAACAGTGGTGGTTCAGGACATGGCTTTCATTTCTTGCGAGTGTTGTGAAGTCAGTATATGCGCCAGCAGGCTCGTTTACAGGGCAGTGCGCCCAGTACAATATGACCGTCCGCTGGTGTTGCATAGATGGGTGAGGGCTGTAGTGGTTGAAGCGTGTACTGATGTGAACAGACGTAAAGAAGGTCAAATGAGCCTGTGTCGGTTACGATTCCCTTACCCATCATCCTTGTTGCAGGGGTGTGCCTTGTGCTCACCATGGGCAGACCTACGTTGCATTTGGATCCAATAAAATCTACAAAGCAGTGCATCAGTGAGCACGGGGGCCGAGGACCCCATGATCCCATGTTGGTCAACACTTCCGTGCCAGCTGGAGACCTGGCCGCCCTCACACAGCGCGCACGCCAGCATCATGCCCGGGGACCTGCTCGCACCAGCCGCGTTGATCCCAGCCAGGCTGCTGCCAAGTGTCTAAACGTATATGATACAGCGGCAGGAAAGCTGTGGGGAGCTCTGCGGGTTTGGGCAGCTTCAAGTCCGCGGAACGCTGAACTGCTTCACACCCTCCCTTCACCGTCCGACCATACAGATGCCCCGTGGGTAATCAAAGGCTATCTCCTTCAAAAGCCCGCCACGCACCACAACTCATGCCCCTCGCCCTAATGATTGAGAATGCCAGCGCGCATTAGAACCTCTCCGCGAGTGAACTATTGCCTTCTAGTTCTTTGCTACCTGGAGGTGGGCCAACGGGAAGGCCCGGCAGCCTGCGCACCTGGTCGCGGGTGGACGGACTGGCGCGGCAGGCGTTGCAGCGGCTCATGGGAGCCCAACGGCCTTCTCGGAGAGCTCGTGAAGCAATGCATGGTTGCGAAAAAACGTTGGGCGGGCCTGGGGCCGGTCCACAAAGTGGCGCACCGCCGAACCGCCCGCTGCGCTGATCTGAGTGTTGCACTCGCTCCGTCGCTCCCCGCTAGGTCGTGCTCTGGACTGCGTGCCTGCTGTCTTCTACCGCCGCCCCGGCGGAGTCGGTGGCCGGGCACCGCTACCTGCAGCGGGAGACGGTGAGGCCACCTGCCATGCGGGGCGACCCGAGGGTGACACCCGCCACTCTTCCC